TCATCAGCGTCTGAATGCACAAAACTATTATACGGAACATATTTCGTAATACGTTCGAAAGTAAACAGGTTGAGGTTGGACCTTAAGCAGTTTCCTCTTAGAGAGGATGAAAAAGAGCTTATAATGATTATAAATCCACTTACTAGCAACAAATGGAGGTGGAGGTCCCATATTTTCATTTTGATCGTCTTGTCCTTGCAACAGAGGAGCATTTTCACTGGAATCGGGCTCTGGAGGGGCAGCTGGTCCTGATGAATCCCCTATGTTGGCCGCCATTTTGTGTTCCTAAGTGTTGGGTGGAAAGAAGTCACGTGACAATCAGGTGACAGTCATCAAAATACTGCGTCATAGTTTATAAAAAGAAAATTCGAAAGTGAAAAGAAAGAAAGAGAAATGCAATTAAGAGAAATGCTCGTGTGTCAGTGCAGTTGTGAGTTCATCGAGAATCGAAGCACTTAGGAAGTTTGGAGAATATTCAAGAAGCTAGAGTTGCTCTCGGCTACGTCTCGAGAAACTATTACGCATCTTGAAAGTTGTTGTATCTAGACCAAGAACCGAACAGGGTCGTCACAATTGCCTGGACCTTTTTACCTGCCACTATTAAACAGCTGGAAATCCCCGTCTCTTTTTACCTGACACTATTAAAAAGTTTGAAAACCCTGTCCTTTTTAAAGAAAAAGGTAAAATCTATCAAGACCTATATCAGGGACATCAGCTTGCAAAAGGAATGCTCTGTAATTTATGATAAGAACCCTGAATTTAGATATTTTTAAATTATTTGATCCCTCTTTTAACTATTATCGTATACCATTTTTAGCTTTATGACAACTGTATTGGAAATTTCTGTTTTTCCTTATTTAGACTTTGTAGCAGTAGGTCCACATCAACTGTACAGTCACATATTTTAAAACCTACTTATCAAATAAGATATATTTATTATCAAACTACACTTCGTAGAGTACAAATAACGCCATAGACGAGTACAAATATCACGCGGTATTTGTACTGTAGAGTACCGGTTAAACAGAATAATTTGAATAAATCAACAAAGTTGAAATGGTAAATTGGCCACCGTTACGATTATAAAAGCTGACGTTTCGCTCCGACGAAGGGCTAACGCTCGAAACGTCAGCTTTTATAATCGTAACGGTGGCCAATTTACCATTTCAACTTTGTTGATTTATTCAAATTATTCTGTTTAACCGGTACTCTACAGTACAAATACCGCGTGATATTTGTACTCGTCTATGGCGTTATTTGTACTCTACGAAGTGTAGTTTGATAATAAATATATCTTATTTGATAAGTAGGTTTTAAAATATGTGACTGTACAGTTGATGTGGACCTACTGCTACAAAGTCTAAATAAGGAAAAACAGAAATTTCCAATACAGTTGTCATAAAGCTAAAAATGGTATACGATAATAGTTAAAAGAGGGATCAAATAATTTAAAAATATCTAAATTCAGGGTTCTTATCATAAATTACAGAGCATTCCTTTTGCAAGCTGATGTCCCTGATATAGGTCTTGATAGATTTTACCTTTTTCTTTAAAAAGGACAGGGTTTTCAAACTTTTTAATAGTGTCAGGTAAAAAGAGACGGGGATTTCCAGCTGTTTAATAGTGGCAGGTAAAAAGGTCCAGGCAATTGTGACGACCCTGTTCGGTTCTTGGTCTAGATACAACAACTTTCAAGATGCGTAATAGTTTCTCGAGACGTAGCCGAGAGCAACTCTAGCTTCTTGAATAATCTCCAAACTTCCTAAGTGCTTCGATTCTCGATGAACTCACAACTGCACTGACACACGAGCATTTCTCTTAATTGCATTTCTCTTTCTTTCTTTTCACTTTCGAATTTTCTTTTTATAAACTATGACGCAGTATTTTGATGACTGTCACCTGATTGTCACGTGACTTCTTTCCACCCAACACTTAGGAACACAAAATGGCGGCCAACATAGGGGATTCAACAGGACCAGCTGCCCCTCCAGAGCCCGATTCCAGTGAAAATGCTCCTCTGTTGCAAGGACAAGACGATCAAAATGAAAATATGGGACCTCCACCTCCATTTGTTGCTAGTAAGTGGATTTATAATCATTATAAGCTCTTTTTCATCCTCTCTAAGAGGAAACTGCTTAAGGTCCAACCTCAACCTGTTTACTTTCGAACGTATTACGAAATATGTTCCGTATAATAGTTTTGTGCATTCAGACGCTGATGATTCCTTTTAGGAATCTTTAGAATAGTTTTAAAGGAACGACTTTTCTGTTTTGTGATTTTTAGAGACAAGTGATTACTCATTTTACACCGTGTCTGTTTCAGCCTTAGTTGTTGCAGTTATAGGAAAGCCGGTCTGTTTTTTAATTCCTTTGAACATTGTTCGGTGTGATGCAGATTTTTGAGAATTGCTCAGATGTCAGGGGAGTAATTATGGTCTTACATTCGAATTGAAGTAAAAGAATAAGCTAAATCACGCGATGAGCATTTGCTAAGTAGACACGGGCTTCGTGATCAGTTATGGTAGCTTAATAGGGGATACACTTTCCATTCTTAAGCATCTTTGGTATGTTTTGACGTTGATTTTTGATATGCTAGGAACTTGTACTGTTTTATGTCTCTATTTGCTTGTATAAAGAAGCTCGATATGTGTACTTAGGTGCCAAAAAAAAATCCTTCGGGAAGATTTGCCGTGACTTGAAAAAATGCAGAGTTGTAATATAGCTACGTGTAACTGATTCGTTGTAGTTAAAATCATAGGTAGTCACAAGATTGCTTTATCCTTACTCGTCACTTTTTGTTCTTGAACTGTCTGCAAATGTTTAATATCTGCTCCAGTTATTTAATTTTGTATGAATACTTCTTACGGTTACTTCTTATAGTGCATGTAAGAAAGTTAGTTAACCAAGCTAGGAGTAGCCTGCGTGCAGATGGACTTTCCTTCGTTCCTTCGTTAAGTCCGTCTGTGAAATAATGAACAAAACCGTGTTTTGAGACCCCCACATCTAGCAGGGAAATATATAGTTGATCATAATTGGCTGTTGCCTTTACTGGTTTGAATAAGCCTTTTGATTGGCTTGCCTCCTTGCTCCAGTTTTTCGCTGAAGTTTACGAATGTTAGTCTTAGAGATATGGCGTCGTCGAAGTTTTCAGAAGAGTGTTGGAATTGTGCTTTCGAAGCAGTGAAAAGTTACTTTCAAGATGATGATCTATTGCCAGAACAGGTTGATGGTATAAGAGCTTTCTTCGAAAAGGGAGACGTGTTCATTAATCTTTCCACTGGATACAGCAAGTCTCTTATTTATCAATGCCTTCCAATCAGTGTGATTGAAAGATCTTCACTCTCGTGTGCTCGTTTGTTTTGTGTAGAATTTTGTGCAGAAACCTGGCTGCTGTGAAAGCCATCTTCAATCTGTCTTACCAGATTGAGGGTATTACTTCTTTTTAGTTGATTTACGCAAATACGACAAACACATTGAGTTCTGTTTGCTACTTCAAACGGTAATGTTTGTATTTCTGTGCGAACATTGAATTTTCCTCTGCCATCCACACAATATCTTTTACATTCCTTTTCAATATATTTGAAGCAAAGGTTACATTGACATTCACTGATTTCCATCTGCTGCATTCAGGTACACCTACACAACTAAGACCCCAGTCAATCTGTCAAACTCATGTGGGAAAAACCAAAACATTTACCTAAAGCAGCAAAAGACTGGAACAAAGAGGCGAGCCAATCAAAAGGTTCATTTGAGCCAGTGAAGGCAATAGCCAATTACGATCGACTATATATTTCCCTGCTAGTTGCAGGGGGTCTCAGAACGTGGTTTTGTTCATTATTTTGCAGACGGACTTAACAAAGGAATGAAGGAAAGTCCGTCTGCATGCAGGCTATGCTAAGAGTGGATGCTGACATTGTGATAGATTTGTACTCAAGTTAGCAGCTGTGTTAACTGATGCACGCCTACTGTAAAAGTGATGTGAAGCTGCTACATAACTCCACTCTTTTTTGAACTTGTTCTGAAGTAAGAAAACAAGCTGAAAGATTTGGGGGCAAACTGCAAAAGCTGATATGGGGGGTACAAACTTGCAGTGGGGGAAAAAATCTCTATAAACTGTATCAGCTGTCATTTTAAAATAGCAGAAATACAGCTTGTGTAGTGCATTTGCAAGTTGTGTCAGATCTTTTGTTAAAGAGCTAAACTTAAACAAAGCAGTAGTTTCAGTTATTTTAATATTAATCCTTTGTTCAAGATGCTCCCCCCATCATTCCTGGAATGCCTCCGCCGGCTTATTCAGAAATGCCACCACCATATACCCCACCAATGTCAATGAACACTGAGCCATCTGTGATCTGCAGAGTTTGTCAACAGCTCATATACATAAAAGGACGGGAACACCAGCGGGTTGTGAAGTGTGCCCACTGTCAAGAGGCTACGGTAAGAAACCAAGTTCCAAATATTTGTATTCATAAGGAATGATGTATGTAGATTAAATTGCAAATTCATAGTCACATTTATGAGGAATTATATCTATCTAGATTAAATTGCAATTCCGGTTTTTTTAAAAACAATAAAAAAAATAAATGAGTGATAACCACATGTAATAGACTGGTATGATTATGGCCAGGATATCCAAATGATATATCAGTATATGAAAAAAAAAAGAAGAGTTGCAAAATGGGCTTAGAAGCATCTACATCACAATAACTTGAGTCATCTAACCATGTCTTTTATCCCTTTTTACTCTAATGTCAATATGTTTTTTTCCCTGTACTGTTCTTTATAAGGTGTTCACAAGAATATATTTTTTTTCAATCAAGAGCTTCTGAAGTTCTTGATCATTTCCTTTATTCTCGTGACCTTAATATGTGACTCAGGGGTGATATTGTAAGGAGAAATAAGACGCTGGTCATTCCAAGGGGTTCAAGGGTTGACCAGTGATATCATACAAGTCCAGGTTCACTACCTTCAGATTTTAATATCACTCAAGCCGTTATGTTATCCTCTATGAGACTGCTGCCCCTCACTATGCTTATCCAAGGAGAAGTAATATTGCAGTCGTGCATATTTAGATAGTATAGCACCTAACAGGGACCGTTTTTTCCAGACGGACAGCGGATTCTTTCGTGCGGCGCTGACCACTTCATGAGAGTAGTGGACGTCCATACAGGAACAGAGGTGTATTCCAAAGATGTGGGCGAGGAAATTAGGTGGGTTATCATAATCATCTCCCTTTCTTTTGTCCGCAGTAAAAGAAAATGAGTTTTATATGTTTACGATCCTTACTCGCATTATTGTCAACTTACACCGAACTTTTTTGTATTATTTTGCGGATCTATTACTAATCAAATGTACTACATTTTACTTTTAGTCTGTCATGTTAAAGTTGAGATATTAGAGAGACTTAGCACCGCGTTTACGTCAAACGTGAACGGCAAGAGTGACGTCACCTTATTTTTCCCGCTTTTTTTTTTTACGTTTGCCGGTGGCGCTTTGCCGTTTCTACGTGATAGCTGCTTGTTTCGCGTTTGCCGAGTACGT